TAATAGAAATCAAAGGTTTTCTTTTTAGTTTTTTCTTCCTTTTCCTGTTAGGCCTTTTCTGTTAGCAGTTCTGTTCTCTGAAATTAACCTCAAATAGCAATTTTCTTGTATATTGTCCTGGAAAATGATGTATATCCCAGAGAACATAGAAGCTCTGTGTGTGCGTGTGTGTGTGTGTGTGTGTGTGTGAGTGTGTGAGTGTGTGTGAGAGGGAGGGAGGGAAGGAGGGAGGGACGGAGGGAGGGATCCCGTAAGTGTTACTAACTTGTTCCTGCATGTGGTTGCTCTTGATGTTTCACATCCATTTTCTTACTTTACTCTGTGTTACAATTGCTATGCAGTCACATGCTGGGAAAGTTGTAGAGAGGCATTGGTATGAAAAGAACAAGCATATATTTCCAGCTTCTCGGTGGGAGGTAACATCTCTTATTCTATTTTCCTTTGTCGTGTTTATATTCTTCAATGGCTGGCGATGGACTTGATTTAACAATTATTATGTCAAGTCTTCTAAGTTCTCACTCGACACAATTATCTTGAGTATATTAATGCTGCTATTAATACCATACCGCAACTAAAGTGCAGTTAACACGTTAATTGCACTCAGAACACCCTTCTACCCCTACCACGAGACGTTGTAATGTTGTATACCTATTTCCTTCTACATAATATGCCTTTGCCTGTCTTTTTGTTGCAGATATATGACCCGACAAAGAAGTGGGAACGGTATACAATTCACGGGGATTAAGTGTATCAAAATCATTTCATCTTCTTCGCCAACGCGCGAGTGTCAATTTACACCATTGGACCTGTTAAAGACAGGACTGTATCTATAATTTTTACTTGTATGATGCTTGTGTAAGAACAAAGGGCTGCTGCTCTCCCAACATATTATCCTTTTTGGACTGAGAACTTCTGTTCTGGATAATTAATGTATCGACTTTTGTTTTAACATTTTTATTTCTTCTTCTACTTTGTTTTCCAGTTTCCAAAGAATATCTCTGTTGAACTCCTGTTCTAGATGGCGACTTGCGCACTACAAGTCCACTTTCAGTTATCTGTTACTGCATCTTTAGTTAATTTGTTGATGCCACTTGCTAGGCGTAGTAAACAGAAAAATGCGAAGCAGTTGGCATGACAAAATCGACTTGTATTTTTTAGCTTTCACGATTTTATTACTACTTGCTGTTTATTTTCTTTCGGCTATTTTATTTTTTTGACTATTGTTACTACTTCTCTTTACATGCATTTTTCTCTTTATATGTTTTTTTTTGAGCCGGTGGTCTATTTCAAAACGATCTCTATACCTTCACACGGAAGGATAAGCTATGCGTACATATTACCCTCCCTAGACCCTACGTGTGAGACCATATTGGGTTTGTTTTTGTTTTTGTATTTTTCGTTTTCACAATCTTACCATGATGAAAGGGCTAATTGTGTATATTATCTTTATAAAGCAAAAATGGCTGATGGTACTTCTGAGACCTTACCTTTAAGCATGAAATCCAATAATGTAATACTATAATATAAAAGCTCATCACTATTTTAGTCTACATGCAGAAGCTTAATGTGTTTATAATCTCATCTTACACAAGTTTTAGTGGTTTAATTATCTTGCCAAGTGTAACATTCTTTGTAGAATTAATTGTGGTAAAATGAGATGCACAAATATTGTTCTTAGTGCGCTGCTCCGTAAGAAACCAACCCAAAGTAACTTTTTTTAGGCATATGAACGTCAAGATTTTTCTTTAATTCATGACGATTAGCTAAACATAAAATCTACTCCGTCAGTCCTATTTTGTGCAATGCACTTAGACTGGATACAAAGTTTAAGAAAAAAAAAAAATTTAAAACATATAATCTAAAACAAGTTATAGATATTTATATGATGATAAATGAGAAGTTTAATTAAATTATTTCTAAATATAAAAAATTATCATAATTTTTTGACATACTAATGCGGTAAGTACATCACATAAATTGGGATACTGAGAATACCTTTTTTAGCAATTTAAAATTTTTATTGCTTGTGTAATTATTTCATTTCTCATCGCATATCCATTCCACTTATGATAAATTCCTCTTAATTTTTTTCCTTTTACCTTCCTATACTACATATGAAACTTTATTACCCTTACTAATCAAGTTTTAACTTAATTACATGGCCATATATAATTTATCAATTATATATAAATTAGTTTTAAATGAGTAGCATTTTATATTAGGAATTGAATAAGGAATCAGTTATTTCCCATCCATGTTCTCTCTCTCTCTCTCCGTCTCTCTCTCTCTCTCTCTCTCTCTCTCTCTCTCTCTCTCTCTCTCTCTCTCTCTCTCTCTCTCTCTCTCTCTCTCTCTCTCTCTGTGTGTGTCTCGCTATCTCTCGTTCTATGTTCTTTCCCCAAAATTTCTTCCTTTGATGTTCTCTACTTTTTATCCTTTCATGTTTTATATATTTTTAATGAAATTCATTAATAGATTTCATTCGTTTTACTATAGAGTTTTAACTTAACAATTTCCTTTCATGTTGTACAATTCGTGTTCAAATTGAAATTGTCAATCAATAAATTTTGAAGGTATTTGATTCTCCACCATTGACAGCCATTAAAATGCTTTGAAGCTTTGAATTCGAATTTGGGCTTTCAAAAATTATTATTTTTTTGGATTGGGTATTGTTGCAAATAATTTGGAATATTGTTTGGAGTATCTCAATTTTTAGGGTATTTGGTGAAGATTTGACTTGATTTTGGCTGAATTTCAGATTGAAACTCCAAAAAGAAGAACACATGACATACAATATACTTACGAAATTGTATTAAAATTGTAATATAATTGTATGTAAATTATATTTAAGTTGAATTCGGTTGTAGTTATATATTATTTTTTAGTTGAATGTTGTATGAAAGTTGAAAATAGTTGTATAATATATGAATCGTTGTATAAATTTGTATTTAAGTTATATATACTATAGTATCTTTTTACATAAAGTTGTTGATATGTATCAAAATTATATTAAAAGAGAAAATTTTGATTGAAATTTATGAGGGGAAGAAGAATACACTACATACAAAATATATACAAATCTTTTACAAAATACACAGAAGACATGTTGTATAAAATTTGTATGAAAATTGTATTTAAATTGTATGATGTTATAGTTGTATTTAGCCGAAATGATGCATGAAAGTTGTAGATAAGTTATAAATAAGTTGTATATTATATAATTAGTTGTATAAAAATTATTTTTAGTTTATATATTGTTGTAAATGTATCAAATTTGTATGAAATTTATTTTTAATTTGTATACTGACGTACCATACAAATTATCATCATCAAGTTTATATTGTTGTTGCTGCTGGTGCTAATCATTCATATGCTACAAAAAAAAATGTAGCATGATTTAAGGCACTAATAGGGAATAGGAAAAGAGAGAGAGAAAAGGAAAGGGGTGTAATTAAAGCCCCTAATTTAAGACACTAATAATGGATAGTACATGGAGAGATGCGGCAGAAAATAAGAAAAGAGAAGTGAGAAAAAAAGAAAATGGTGTAACTTAATCCCTTAATTTAAGGCACTAATAATAGATTATATATAAATTGTAAGCAAACCTTATTTAGGGCAGGTAATTTCCAAAATTGGGACAATTTTAATAATAAGGCTCATATAGTGTATAGAAAAAAAAAGGAAAAAGGGTCAAATATGCCCTTGAACTATTGAAAATAGAGCAATTATGCCCTCCGTTTATATTTGGGTACAAAATTGTCATTGTCGTTAATAAAGTGGTTCACTTTTACCCCTCCCCACTAACAGACTCCACATCAAGGACAATTTTGTACCCAAATACAAAATGGAGGGCATAATTGCTCTATTTTCAATAGTTCAAGGACATATTTGACCCTTTTTCGTATAAAATAATACTTTTTTGCTGAGTTAAAAATGTCCAAATATGCCCCTAAACTATTAAAACAGAGCAATTATGCCTCCGTTTGTATTTGGGTACAAAAGGAGGGCACAATTTTATACTCAAATACCCACACAAGACAAATGTAAAAGTGGAATTTATGATGGTAAGTTATGGATGTATCGATATGCGGTTGCAAATTAAAATAGTAAGACGAAACGGAAAAAATTTCACCATTAATTACTTGGTACTCTAATAATAAGATTTTGCATTAAGAATTAACATTACAATGTAAAAGGTCATTTTATTACGGATACATCAATGATGAACAATGACATTGTATCCTTTGAGCAGATTCGGATTCGAGTCCTTCTAATGGGGTATTGTTTGGTTATCTTACATGCTAGGACTTAGGAGTTCAATGAATATAAAAATCAAATCACACGAATTTGATCCAGTAAGAAAATAATAAGTAAAAAAAATGAAGTAGGAGGTTGTGATCAGCTGGCTGGAGGAATTTTTCGGTGAGATTTCTCGTCATTGTAGTATTTACTACGTAAAAGATATGGCAAGATATTCCTTTCCCTTTTTTTTTATTTTTATTTTTATAGAGTACTTTTTCTCCAACATGGATTTTTAACTTAGTAAAAAAATATTATTTTATACGGAAAAGGGTCAAATATGTTCCTGAACTATTAAAAATAGAGCAATTATGCCCTCCATTTGTATTTGGGTACAAAATTGTCCTTGATGTGGAGTTTGTTAGTGGGGAGGGGTAAAAGTGAACCACTTTATTAACGGCAAGGGCAATTTTGTACCCAAATACAAACGGATGACATAATTATTCTATTTTCAATAGTTCAGGGACATATTTGACCCTTTCCCGGAAAAAAAAAATCCCAATTTTCAACCAAAGCTAAGTAAGCCTATTGATTTGTGTTGTAAAACTAGTTGTCTAGATTTTCGAATTGCGGGAAGTCATTAATAACTAAATCTTGGGAGTTCTGTAACAAAGCCCAAAGTGATTATTTCTCAGTTTGGGCCCCCGATTCCTAATTGAGTTGGCATAACATATCTGTTTTCACATGAATAAATCTGTTAAAAAACAAAAACACAAACAAAAAGAAAATTCTGAGCTGGGTTTGTTTTCTGTGACCTCCTCAGAGCTTGATTTTCTGTTTTACTCTCGTCTTTGGTCTTCGTTCGTGTGCTCCGCCTTCCTCTCAAAATGACAATTAGGGTTTTCTTCGTCCTGGCTCTTCTCCTCTTCTCTTCATCATTTCTTCAAGGTTTGCTTCTCAGATCACAGATCTTAATTCCTGAAAACTTTCAGTCAAATCCCTCATCTTTGCATGTTAATTTTTGTAGTTCATCGCATTCGCATGCTCATGCACGATCGCATGAACAATTTTACGTATTAAGCTTTATTTAAGTACTCTGTTTCTTTGATATTCGTAATTTTGATTCTCTTCGATTTAATCGAGGTTTGACTATTTAATGTTGACTATTCGAGTTTTGTTATTGCCTGATTGATATCGGGTTGGATTATGATTTTGATTGCCATAGTAAATCTGGAATGTTAAATATTATGCTTTGATATGTTCTCCATTTGGAAATGATAAGCATCAAAATTGAATGTGGACTTTGATTGTGGAAAGTTTTGCTAGTTTTGGTTAGTCAAAGTGATTGTCGTTGACTTGACAATAGCTTCTTGTGATTATGTTTCGTATAATGACTTGGAAAAGAACTGTTGATGCATGCATTGCCTGCTCCCTGATAGAATTGTTCACTCTTTTGATTTAGTTAGATCTTCATTTTTTTTTTATGACGGTGGTGTCCGGGTCGACTTGCGCGCACCTCGACTATTCTATCTGCTACTTGATAACTCCCACCAGCACAATTACTATGTAACTCTGTCCACCAAGTATTAGATAGATGGGCAGCAATCACCTAGTGTTTTTTGCCTCCGCTAGGATTCGAACCTAAGACCTCATGGTTCGGATTTAGTTAGATCTTCAATATTATACTATTTTTTACGCCTCGTATTTTTTTATGATGTTGATTAGGTTGATTATGAGAATTTCCTTTCAGACTCTAACTTGTTCCGTCATTTTGAGCAAAATGTATGTTGCCGATAGCTGGTTTTGGTTTGAGGCTTAGTAGTTGTTTTTCATTGTTAATTGCCATTGTTGTATTTCGTGAAGTTCATTTTGGTGTTAATATTTTCTTTTTAGTTGCTAGAGCTCAATCCGACCCTGAAGCAGAAGTGGTTGAGGGTACCGAGGAAGGAGGGGATCTTGGAATTGTTGGTGAGGATGTCCAAGATTTTAGCAGTGAGAGTTATAGTCCTGCACCTGGGATTGAAACGATTTGTGTTTTCCCTAAAAACCCTTCTAAAGGTGAGTTTAAATTCAGTGTCTACTATGCATCTTTATTATCTTTACCTAATTTTGCTTTGGATAAGGTTGCTGTTAATGGTTTGCCTCTCTTAAAGCATGTTTTTCGTTGTCTATGCAGTAGTGGCAGCTGGTGAGGAGAGAGAGCTGTTGGTTGGAATGAAAAATGATGGTAATTCTGTATTTTCCTTTTCTTTGTCCCATTAAGTTTTTATTTTTAATAGTATTGTTCTGATAGCATCTCTTCCTTTATCTGCTCTGATGGATTTATTTGCCGACTTTGGATGCTGAAAACAGGGGGATCAAATCTGAATATCATTGCCATCCAAGCCAGTGTTCACCTTCCCTTTGATCATCGCTATTTGGTTCAAAATCTTTCTGTTCAGGTAATTGTTGGTGTACATCCTTTCCTATTAATCATGCTTTACGCTGCTTGCTTCTAAAGATTATTGGTGAAATATGTTGACTGAACTGAAAAAAATGGTATTTATTCTCTCTAGATTATTTAGCTTCTATTTGATTCCTTAAGTTTGCATATAATCTTGTCATATTTATGTTGTCTCAAATTTTTATGATCCGAAAGGCTTTTTCTTTCTCTTGTCTCTTTAGTTGTGAGTTAGTTTAAGTTGGGGCTTAGGTAATGTTAAATTTTCCTTGTTTTAAATTTTGGTGATAATAACGTTACCTGAAGATATTCCATGATACATATCATGTTTGCACTTAATAGTTTCTGTTCTTCAGTTAAAGTTTCGTTGCGTTTGCTCCTAACAAGCTATATTTCTCAAGAGCTATTTGGAAATGCCCTTATTTTTTCTCCTTTTAGCTGATGACCACGATAGGTTTTCTAAATATTTATATTTTCTCTCTTGCCAAATTTGTTGGTTAGAAAGATTTTAATCAAATATAAGATTGCTTGAATTAATAAGGTCCTCGTTTTCTTTTTAGAAGTTACTGACATCTGACATTGATCACGGAGAAGGGAAAGAGAAGATGACTCTTTACAGACGCGAAATTACTTTAGCATTACAATTTCAAAGAATTAAAAACATCCCATTTTTGCATGAAACTTCTCTTTATTGACTTTACTTATGATGAACTTAAACTATTTGGGGCATTCAAAAAGCTTCAAAATGAATTCTATTCTGAAGGAGATTTCAAATCAACTAACAAATGAATTATCGTGCCTTAACTTGCTTGTAAGGAATTGAACATACCCTAAACACTTTACCGCTTGGCTTCCTTGGTGAAATGTAATCCCAACCTCTCGGTTGGAAGAGGAGTTTTCCACTAAAACAACCTCACATGTCAGAGCTATATTGTCAAGTTGAGCTCTACTAGCAGCATTTTTAAGATCACCAACTAAGGTAGAGTTCATGTTGGAGCTAAGAAAAGGCCATACTTATATGGCACCTTGGGTATATCTGTGTTTGTTCAAACATATGTTCGGTATTTCATGCTTTGTTTACTAATATTTCGATATCAGAATTGGCTAATTGTGTATCTTCGTTCATTTACTAGGCTTTTAACAACGCAACAGTTCCTCCTTCTGCTCAGGCTACCTTTCCATATATATTTGCTGTCAGCAAATTTATGCAGGTTTGTTTATATAGCATCATTACCATTTTTCTCATCAACTAACATGGAAAAATTGTCCTGCTTATTTTCATATAATTGCTTTGACTTCATTCTCTCAGTTTCTTCTCTGAACTGATAACTCTGTTCATCATGTTGCAGCCTGGAAGTTTTGATCTCGTGGGCACAATTATTTACGAGATAGACCAGAACGCTTATCAAAATGTGTTCTACAATGGAACTATTGAAGTGACTGAACCTGGTGGTATGCTCAGTGTTGAGTCTGTTTTCCTGTTTTGTCTTGGAGTTGCCCTCCTTGGTCTTCTCGGGCTCTGGATACGTGGCCAGCTACAAAATCTCTCAAAGGTGATTATACTTGCCTATATTCCTTGTAAGATGGGAAAAAAGGTGCTTCAAAAACTCGGTTATATCTTAAAATGCCTGTAGGGTATGTATGAGGGGCCACAAGTAGTTTGTGTGTGGGGTTATTGTTTCTAGATCTTGTACCACTATCCTATTGACATGTATATGTCAACGGACTCTGAAATCTGCTTCTTGAAGTGACTGAGAGCTGATGTGCTGGTGACAGTGAGGGGTTTTTTAAGTCATACAGAGGCGTTAGTGTTACCATATGAGAACAAAGCAATCTGTCGAGCAGCTGGACCTAAGAAAAGTACCTCCCTTTTAATGCAGTTAGTGCTATTTCCTGAATAAAATATCTTTAAAAAAATGTGTCAGCAATAAACACATTAGGGTTTTTTTCATTTAAGCATATGAATTTGTCCTTCTAAATCATTCTCTTTCTTTTCTGGATGTGTGTGTAGAAAACTAAGAGAGCACCAAAGGCAAAGGTTGAAGTTGGAACTGCAACAACTGATGCATCCATGGATGAATGGTTGCAGGTATGTGGTTTATTATACTGTTAAGAGTATATTTCTGGACATGTTTAGTAATCTAGATTTCAAATTTTTTATGCGCATATTTACATTTGGATTCGGGTGGGAAGGATTTGCTAACTTTCCTGTTCTTTTTTCAAGGGAACTGCATATACTCAGTCGCAATCCAACAAATTGAAGAAGAAGAAGTGAATGGCTTGAACTGCTACTTTTAGCTGTATTTTACGGGATGTCCAAAACGTGAGGGTTTAAATTAGAAATGTTAGACCTGCTTCACTGTTGTAGCACGAGGATTACTTATTAGCCTCCAATTTTACTACCAACGAACTAACTGGCTATCGAGGAAGCCAAGAAACAGTTTTGTCAAATTCAACTCTCATTTTCCCTTAAAACAAATTTACCTTTTCCCTTTGTGTTGACTTGGTCTGCACCAGATTCTTATGGTTTTTGTTTCTTTGAGTTAGATACTTCTGCCATCTTTAATTTGATTAGCCGTCTCTGTCTTCTAAAATCAATTAGAAGGAAACAACACCAGAATCTGCGGTCCATTATTCAGTCTGATGTTGCTTTCATTTCCTTGGCGTAAACTGAAATGCCTGGCATCATCTAAGAGAAAGTAAATGAGAACGCAAATGTATGATAGCTTTTACCTTTCTGAGAAATAGAATGAGAGTACAAGTCTTACGGGCATTCTACAGTAGCAGCATCCACATGTAGTAGGAGCTAACTTTGTGCGCATAAATCTGAACCAACAAGGACTGAATTGTTTAAACGCCTTTAATGTTGTGTTAAGGTTACGATCATCGGGTTGAGCACAAAGCATGTTTTAGATCTTCAGTAACTTTGCTTTAGACTGATTGATAAAGTAGAATCAATAATTTCATAGTTCTTCAAATTGTTTCACTCAGTAGTCAGTATGCACGGTTTAAGAGAGTTGTCGGCTAGGAAGATTTGGACTTTTTGATTTTGGTAAAATCTAATATAACAGAAACAGTGTCAAGTTGGACCATGGATATGTGAACACCTGACATACATGAGATGAAATGGGAAGCAGATCACATCACTATACAGATCACCTTCATTACTATGGCATTTAGGAGTGGGGGAAGAAGCAAAAGATTCATCAAAGATTTTTATTTTCTTGGGCTCCGTTGGATGTCTAGTATCTACTTTTGTGGCTCTCTATACTTAAAAGCAATTAAGCATCACATGCTACAGAAAATGCAGTCGCTATATATGAAATGTGGAACCTCACCAACCTAATTGCTAACCGTGAGACATTATTTTCCTTCCCCTTTTGGTTGGAGAGGGAAATAAATTGAAGAAATTTCCTTTTCTTTGTTAAAACAAGGAGAATAAATCATGGTTAAAGGGGAAATGTAGAAAGGAGATTAGTGTTCTTACCTTTTGATTACTAAACTATTCGAAATTATGAAGCAAAGTCATTTTTCTTTCATTTGAAACAACAAAGTCACTCAATTATCCCTATTGCACATTGATGATCACTCAGTCGGATTTCTTAATATTTTCGATGAAAAAAACTGACTTGGCAGTCCATATGGATTTTCTTTTTATATTTTTAGCCACTAAAAATAATTATCACCCAAACAAAAATAAACCCAAATTGATCCATTAAAGGTAAACCCACCCAAAATAAACTTTTACTCCTAAACGCACCTCTCTTCCAAAAACCCTTGGACCAATTATTATTTTATAAAACTCTTCTCTTCTTCTCTCAAGCAGATGAACTTTTCATGATTTCTCTAGTTCAAAATTGAACCTTTCAGTATAAAAAATAGTTACTTAATAAGAGCAATTATTTAGCTACATGATATATTATAGTCCAATTAATAGTATTTAGAATGTAAGACTATCAACTTTTCTTGACTCATTTGATTCACTCAATATTGTTTTGGTTCCGCCCTTGTGTCTCTTATTCTCTTAATTTTTTCTTCTTAAAATAATCATGGGTTCGAGGGAGAGCAACATGGATGCTTCTATATAAAAGGAGTGTGACAAGAATTTTCTTTTTAAAAAAGGACGAAAATAAAATAAATGAACTATAATGTAAGATTAGACAAACGAAAAACTAAAGAAAAATAATTACTGATTTTATTAGTATGATATGTTATAAAAAATTGATGGTACAAGCGAAAAAGAAAAAAAGTTATATAAAATAATAATGAGTCCAAGAGTGTAGAAAAGAGATCCGTTTAGGACTAAAAATTTATTTAGGGTGGGTTTACCTTTAGCCGGGGTTGGATTTACGGGTGAGTTTCTATGTTTTGCTTGAGTGTTAATTATTTTATATGGTCCAAAAATATAAAAAGTTCATATGGACTGCTAAGTAAGCTTTTTTTCACCGAAAATATTAACAAATCCAGCTGAGTGATTATCAGTATGCAATATAGATAGTTGAGTGACTTTCTCGTTACAAATTAAAAAAAAATGACTTACTCCATAATTTCGGATAGTTATCATCTGAGTAACGGACTCCTTAGATATTTTTAGTTAAAGGTATCTAAAACACCTTGCCTTTTTTCACACATTCAGATTGAATACTTTCGTACATTACAATTATTATTGACAGCATATGTACAAACCTTCTAACGTGACTATCATTTTGTGCTTTGCATATTACAAAGCTGCATGTGATGTGGGAAATGGTATTCAAGTAAAGCATGCTGAATTGGTTGGAGAATCATTTTCACTGTTTCAACCTTTCAATTCAACCGAAGTTCAAAGAAAACTTAGCAACTTTTTTTTTTTTTTTTTTTTTTTTTTTTTTTGGTAAATTTCTTCTCACATAGGAGTAGTAATTAAGAGGGATAGGAAATAGCCAATTGGACAACAATGGCCATCAAGCTATATATTGGGATTCGAATTCGTGCAATGTGGCTTGCAGTAAGACAAATTTTATTAGTGGTACAGAAATCATATAAAGAAGACTAACATGAGCTGAAAAGTCAAGTTTACGGAAATGAAAGTCATATAATTTGACAGTTTTAAAACAAATTTTATTATCGGTACAGAAATCATATGAAGAAGACAAACAAGAGCTAAAAAGTCAAGTTTACGGAAATAAACATTTTCTGCAATGATTGTGTCAGAAATTGAGGTGTGGAGGTGGGATTTAATTTGTAGGGTCATGGGGAAAAAACAAAGAACCGTCAATTTATTTTATATTTTATTTTTATTCTCAAGTCTTCCTTTTTAAGAAAAACAGGATAAAGAAAATTTTGCAGTTCTTTTTAAATTCAATTTCAATTTTCCAACAGCTTCTTTTGATGAACCTCTGGCATCACACGTATGTTCTTTAACACCTGATGGAGTAATCATAGTTATTAACAAAATAAGAGAATATACTATAATATATGCAGATTATTACAGTTCTGTAACTGGAATTTCATATTAAATTAGGATGAAAGGAACGAATGAAAAAGTCTCTAAATTATGCATTTCCATATTATAGAGCAGCTAGACGGGGCGGAAATCGGATTGAAAATAAGGGGATTATACTCGAACCCATGACCTAGAGTATCTTTTTTTTTACCCCTTTGCGAAGGGGTGTTTATAAAAACTCGAAAAATCGAACCAAACCGACCAAAAAAACGGATACTTTTTAGGTTTGGTTTGATTTTGGTTTTAAATTTGAAAAACCGATCAAATTTGGTTTGATTTTGGTTTTAATCAAAAAATAACCGAAAAAACCGAACCAAACCGACTATAAAAGTTGCTATTTAAATTTATTATTACACCTATATATATGTATATTTTTATATAAAGTTTCTAAAATTTTATAGTACATATTAGTCATTTGTATTTTTAGTCTAGTTCTTTGCTATTATAATAATCTAATTCTTTGCCATCTAGTTTGATTGATAGTTTTCTTTTGTTAAGTACAAGAATTTATTTCATATTAAAAATAATCAATTTTTAATTGAGTACTTAAATTATTCATCACTATTTGAGTCAATTGTCATCAATATATTTTGGTAAATGATAGATTTCTCAAAAAGCAATTGGTTTGATAGCGTTACGTTGAAAATATAGTCGCCGGAATATGCTTTTGGTAGTGTATGTCTCATATTCAAGAAAAAACCGATAAATAACCAAAAAATCAAAAAACCGACAAAAATTGAATCGATAAAAATCCGACTTAATTGGTTTGGTTTGGTTCCAATATTTGAAAAACCGACTTAGCTGATTTGGTTTCATTTTAGAAAAAAATCGACCCAAACAGAACCATGAACATCCCCTACCTTTGCGACTACACGGGAAGCTTTCAACAATCAATAAAAACATTTACCGATGCACAGTGTAATTTTCTATATATTCATTGACTATCGTTGGACCAATGTGGCTCCCCAACTGCAACTAGGCAATGCAAAGCTGCAATATTGAATGTTAATGATCTGTAGGAGAATGCTACTATGGTAGAAGTACTGTATATGCAATAATACATAAAATCATGCACTTCCTTCTTGATGATTAGTACAATTATTTTGTTCTATAATTTGTGGTAGTAGAAGTTAGTTGACGAATGACAATTAATTCACGCGAATAATGAGAGAAGAACATGCTTTTGTTACTCATTATAAATGCCAACATTTAACTACCCCTTCTTTTCAAATTAAAACTAAATAAAAACACAAGATGTACAACAGTAGAAATACTGGCAATCATACCCTTACATCACTTTGTTAAAAAAGTAGTCAAAGTTTCACATCTAAAGAGCAAGGGCAATCCGGTGCACTAATCTCTTACCTTGCATTTCTGTAAGAGAATATTTCTACGGTTCGAACCCGTGACCTCCTGGTCACATGAGAACAATTTTACCGGATAAGCCTAAGTAACTAACCGAAGATTTTCAGTAAAATAAGTCACATAAATGAGCGCTAACTAAGTAGGTTTACAGGTAGAAAAGAGACGAGGTGTACAGTTGGAGACCTCATTGAATGNTTATCTATATTATTCTCTTAATTTTCTCGCAATCAAGTGATAAGTTTCAAGTATTTGGGCAAATATTTGGAGCAACTTTCAAGCTTCAAATTAATTCGTCAAGTATTTGGAGAAATATTTTGGACAATTTGTTCAAGTTTCAATATTTAATCACGGTGCACTCGTTCCATCTCCTAATTTTAATATATATTTTTTGCGCATTATTTTAGTGCTTAATTTTTGTGTTTACTTTACGTGTTCTATTTTCGTATTTTATTTGTGTTAAATTTTTTAGTTTAATTTTGTATTTAAATTATGGCATCTAAAAATGTATTTGGCGTATTTAAAAAAACTAGTAAAAAAAGTAGTAAAGGTGAAAGTAGTAGTAATCCTAATCCTAGTCCTCATCCTAGACCTTCTCCTATAATTAGAAAATATATAGATGAAATGACTCATGTTGATGAAACTTCATTTTTCC